ATTGTGAGTTCTTCAAAAACTGACTATATGAATATTTGTTTTATTGATTCGAATGGAATTAAAGACCTGAGATGAATAAATATTTCCCTATGGGTGCCGGTAAGAATATTCAGAATCCCCTAAAGCCTCTCCACAGTAGTGGCGAGAAATGTTTTCACCAACACCAGTCATGTCTGAGTTTTCAAGCAAGACCTAAAATGGACAGAAAAGGTTCAGTTCTCCAGACTCAGATCAGAAGGAAAGGAGCGCCCTCTTGTGCTCGTTCTCTGCCAGTGTCAGTGAATAAAGAAGTCTGCTGAGAAATGACCATTTCAGACGTGATGATATTCCAATGACAACAGCCAAACTCCAGTCATGTGCCTACAGCATAAAAGAAAATGTGAAAATATGGAGAGAGTTTAACTGGTCTCCTTTGAAAAATTCCAAATCTAGAAGGAGTGAGGGAATAAAATACATGCAGAAAAAAACTATTGTAAAAGACTATAGGTAAAATGGATAGATTACTATGTGAATGCTGAGGATTGAAACTTCACAGGAGATAAGTTAAGATTCACGTTAAAATGTAAACCTTGATGGTCAAAAAGAAACTCGAGTTGGCACTGGGCAGCCTCCATGTGGATCTAGCTGTCAGGTCTCCACGGCCTCTTCTGAGGTGTGCGCTCCCTCTCTTTTGGAGGGAGGCCCTGTGAACTCATCTTGTGCCCCTTTCTTCCCCATAGTGTCCTGCCCATAACTACCTGTCTCTTCAGTTTCATTTCCCAACACTCCCTCCTTCCCCAAACTGGCTGTTGCCTGGGACACTCTCTCCTTAGCTTCCCTTGGCCTCGATGCTCACAAAGATAACTACGTAGGTCCTCTGGCTTTAGGGTTTCTGCAAGTATGATCAGGGTGGGGACCAGTTACAAAGGATTAAGAAGCTCTCTTGCAACCCTTGCTCCTAGAAGCAGCCTTCAGCTGGCCTCTTAGAGCCCTTCGGCCGTAGGGTCCTTCCCTTGGTCTGCATCTTTCTCTAACACGGAATGAAGACGGAATCCAGGCAGGGCAATGGATGTGACAAAATATCCAAGCAGGTAGAAACTAATGCTCATTAGGGAAGCAGAATGGTGGAAAGAGCAGTCCTTTAGGGTCAAACACACTGAGCTCTGCTGCTTTGTAGCTGTGGCCACTTGTGGCACATGCTTGATCCCCCGTTCTGCAGCTATGAAATGGGGATAACAATACACACCTACCTACCTACCTCATGAGATTCTTGTGAAGATTCAGTATGAGAGTACATAAATCGTTTAGGGAGTATCTAGTATGATAAATGTCCACTTTCTTCCCCCTCTTGCCCCAAACCTCTTAGCCTGAAGTTTCTGTAAGTCTCATGGCTATGTCTAAGATTTCTGGGTCAGTGGCACAATAACTCAAAATTTGAGGTCAAGAGCTGCACGGGGAGCAGAAGAATAGCTGCTTTGTTTGTACTCTCGTGTATGGTGATGTGGGGAAGGGATTTCCAACCCATCCTAATGACTTCCCAAGAGTTTTTTCAACTTGCTCAAACCGATAATCTGGGAGTCATCTCTGATTTCTCCTCGTCTCTCATCTCCCATTTCTAAATTCTGTTACTTCTGAAGATATCCTAATTCCTCTGGTTCTTTCCATCCCTCTCCATGACTTTACTTTGTCACCATCACCTCTTCCCTGGAAAACTGCAGTGACTCCCTAACTGGCTTACAGTGCTGGCCCTGTTCTTACTTACACAGCTGATAGAGATCTTTCTAAATGCAGTTCTTAGCAAGCCACTCCCTTATTTAAGGTCACCTATTGATTGCTCAACTACCTCCAAGAGAAAGTGGTAACCTCTTAGCGCAGCTTCTTCTTCCTCTTGAGACTCCTGCCTACTTTTCCAGTTTTCTTTCTCACCAACCCTGAGGCAGCCCAATTCCTTTCTGCTCCAGCTACACCAGCATTTAACATTCCACAGATAAGGCACAGAGACTACGGCATTTCCTGGATGTGGGACTTCGAATGTTAAAACCAGGACTGTCCTGAGCAACCAGGATGGTGGTCACCCCAGTTTTGCCTTGGGTTTCTGCATATCTTATGCTTCTCCCCAAAAGGTTTCCCCTTGTCTCTCCACCTCCTATTTACAGCTCAATAAGACTCACCCTTGGTTTCTGCTTGGACATCGCTTGGGCAGCTCCCGGTGGGGTGGCTTATTTGTCCCTCTGGGAGCTGTCTCAACATGCTCTCCTTGCAGCTGTCACTGCTCTGTCTCCCTTGTACTCATAAACCCATTAAAGGCAGGAATCTTTTTTTTCTCCTTCTTATAGCCTCAGAGCCTAGCAGAGAGTCCGATGGACAGTAGGTGTTCAATAAAGTTTTCTTGAATTAATATCAATGTAAATTTATCTTATCAATTGTTGTCTAATTCATCTCACCAAGGGGGATGTTATGGACTGAATGTTTATGTGTCCCCCAATTTCATAAGTTGCAGTTCAGCCCGTAGAGTGGCTGTATTTGGAGACGGAGCCTCTAAGGAAGTAATCAAGGTTGAATGAGGTCATAACTGATAGGATCAGTGTCCTATCACTAAAGAAGACACCAAAGTCCTGGCCAGTTTGGCTCAGCGGTTAGAGTGTCAGCCCGCAGATCAAACAGTTTTGGGTTTGATTCCAGTGAAGGGCATATACTTTGGTTTTGGTTCAATCCCCAGCCCTGGTGGGGGTCATGTGGGAGGCAGCCACTTGATGTGTCTCTCTCACATAGATGTTTCTCTCTCTCTCTTCCTCTCCCCACCCCTCCCCCCACTCTATCTGACAATCAGTGGAAAAATATCCTCAGGGAGGATTTAAAAAAAAAAAATAGAAGACATGCCCTGGCCGGTTTGGTTCAGCAGTTAGAGTGTCAGCCTGCGGTTCAGAGAGACCCGGGTTCAGTTCCCGCTAAGGGCACGTACCTCAGTTGCAGTTTGTCCCCGGCCCCAGTTGGGGTTGTGCAGGAAGCAGTCACTCGATGTGTCCCTTTCACGTCGATGTTTCTCTCTCCCTCTCTTCCTCTCTCTCCCTCCCACTCTATCTGAAGATAAATGCAAAAATGTCCTCGGATGAGGATAAAAAAAAAATAGAAGACATCAAAGAGAGGTCCCCCTCTCTCTCTGCACAGGAACCAAGAAAAGGCCCTGTGGATTCACTGAAAAGGCCACCCGAGGAGAGAGCACACACCAGACCCTGGCCAGCCCTCCTGACACCTTGACCTTGGACTTCCAACCTCCAGAATCATGAAGAAATAAACTTCTGTTGTTTAAGCCCCCGAGTCTGTGGTACTTTGTTACGGCCACCTGAGCTGACTAACTCAGGGGGTGTACCTAGTTCATATACCTGTGCTGTGACCAGTGAAAGGTCACACACGGAACCATCCCGAGTCTATTCCCCAATGGTTACAACACTATTTCCCAATCAAAGTGTTCTTCCCTGGTAACTCCCCGAGTCTGTGCCCTCTCTGCTGGAAACTGGACAAGCCTCTATGGTCACCAGGGGATGCTGGAGTGACACGGTGAGACTTCCAAGGCTGGGACAAGCAGGGGATTCGGATTCCAGCTGGTTGTCTCTGGGGGTGCTTGTCCTTAGAACCCAGCCCGTGCTGTGAGAATTCTGGCCCACTGGGAGAGCAGAGGCCCCCGCCTTCGGGCCTGGCTGAGCCCCCTAGGATTTCAGTATGTGACTGTCTTTGGAGACAGGGTCTTCAAAGAGCTAAGAAGGCTCACTGCACTGAGGTCCTACAGGTGGGTCCCAATCCAGTCTGACTTGTGTCCTTATCATAAGGGGAGACTGAGGCAGAGAGGACACAGGTGAGCACACCCTGAGAAGGCAGCCATCTGCAAGCCAAGGAGAGAGGCCTCAGAGGAAAACAATCCTGATGACAACTTGACCTTGGACTTCCAGCCTCCAGAACTTGGAGAAAATAAACGTCTGTTGTTTAGTTTTTCTGTTTTTAAATCCTCACCTGAGGATATTTTTTCATTGCTTGTCAGATAGAGTGGGAGGGAGAGAGAGAGACACATAGATGTGAGAGAGACACATCTATTGGCTGCCTCCTGCACGACCCCAACCAGGGCCAGAGATTGAACCACAACAGAGGTCCGGTGCCCTTGACCAGAATCAAACCCACAACTCTTCGGTCTGAGGGCCGTCGCTTTAACCACTGAGCCAAACCAGCCAGGGCAATGTCTGTTGTTTATATGCCACCCACCTATGGTATTTTGTTATAGCAGCCCAAGCAGACTAAGACAGTGGCACTTTGTTATGGAAGGCCTAGCAAATGAAGACAGCATCGTAAACAGCCCCATCATTAAACTGCTCGGGCAGCCTTGGAAGTGTGCTGAGTGCATCCTCTGGGACCTTTTCAACCCCGTGGTAGCGATCATCACGTTTCCATCTACATTTGTAAATATGTCAACATTTATGCCGTGAATGGCTTTTGCCGAAATACTGTAGAAGTCACTTTCACAATATGGTACCTACACTGACAGTTTCTTTCTTTTTTAAGACTTTTTATTGATTTTTAGACAGAGAGGAAGGGAGAGGGAGAGAGAAAGAAAAGCATCGATGTGAGAGCCATACATTGATTGGCTGGCTCCTGCATGCTTCCTACCCGGATGGAGCTGGCAACCTGGGCACATGCCCTGACTGGGAATGGAACCCACAACCCTTCAGTGCATGGGACAACATTCAACCAACTGAGCCACACTGGCCAGGGCCACCAACAGTTTTTATAGAGGAGCCAAGGAACTTCCAGCGCTCCAAGGTGTGGAGGAGCATCTTGTCATTTCTATAAAAATCTTTTCACATTTTTTTAAATCGTCACATTTTTTTATTTTGAGAGAGGAAGAGAGAGATGGATGTGAGAAACATTGCCTTCCGTGCTTGCTCTACCTGAGATCAGACCCACAAACTTTTGGTGTACTGGACGATGCTCCAACCAACTGAGCCACACCAGCCAGGGCTCGTTTCGCATCTTTAAATCAGCTTCAGCTCTGGAGCCTGGACAGGTAACGACTGAAGGTCAGAGTGTCTCTGAAGGTGCTGCATGAGAACTCTCGTTGCCGCCTCGGTGGCTGGGAGCCCGGCCAGCCGAGGAGGAGGCCAGGCGAGATGCGCCGGGACTTGCAGAGGGGAGCTGCGTTCTGCACTTAGGGATATCTAGGGAGGAAAAAGATATCATTAGAGTGAGAGTCATTAAAACATCACAGGAAGCTATGTAATTAAGCGTATTTTAATGATGTAAAACAATTGTATAAAATCACAGGACTGGATGGGATTTATTGAGACTTCCCAATTTCACCACCCTTATCCCCATGCAATCTTCACCTTGAGCTGCTAATAACCACTTCTTTCGTCTCCAGAGTGCTTTCACAACCATAATTGCATCTGAACCTCGGGAAAATTCTGTGAGGGAGGTAGGGAGGTATTAAAACCTCCATGTTACACACGAATAAAACCCAAGAGCAGGCAGGTGAAGTGCCAGCCCAAGTTCACAGAGTGGGTCTGGAGACTTGTGATTCTTAGACCAGGTGAGTAACAAGTCTCCATATTTTACACTCCCTACTAATCTGCACGGGCACACATTGTCTCTAAAAAGGCAGATGTCACCATGACCTTCCAACCAAAACTCACAGTGAGAAAGGATTTCTCCTCGACATCTGGCCGCGAGCAGGAAAGAGGAAAGAAGGGAGAGAAATAATGTGAGCTGAGCTGAAAGGGAACTTGTAAGTTCACCCTGACGTTGGCCCCTCCTGGGTCCAGAGACATAAGCAGCGTGAGCAGACACAGATGCTGTGTCCTTCCCCGAGCACAATCGCCTCCTATTCCTCATATTCAGCTGGCAAGTCTCAGACGCCAGATGACTTCTGTCCCTCTAATGCTCTGACAAATATGTCTGCGACACACAGGGTTTCTATTAATCTGGGGAAAATCAGAAATTGCTTCAGCCAATGACTGCTGTTTCCTCTTCTCCGCGAACCGGCTCCCTCTTATTCCACGAAGATGAACCACACTGACTGGTCTTACCTCGCATGCTCTCTTCATCCTTCTCTAAACATGACCTGTCCTTCCAGGCCCACCTTCTGCAAGAAACTGAGTGTGTTGACCCTCGGGGGTGTCTGCCTCAGCTGGATTCCTATCGAGGCCTCTGACTTAGCACTGAACATATAGATGCTCTTGGCATTTAGGATTTGTTTCTGAATGTAATTATTTGTCTTCTGATGAAAATGCAGGCTCCCTGGGAGCAAAGCTGGAATCTACTACCTCACTGAATCTTCGGCTGCCTGCCTCTATAAAGTCATATACATTTACTGGTTTTTCTGGGAAAGAGCAGGCAAAACTGGGGTTACACATAGCAAGTTGTTAGAATCAAAGAGGGGGAAGAAAGGGGAGAAATAATTTTCTCTGGTTTTCCGTGTTGACATCAGCCTAGAGTAAGCATTTTCACCGTTGTTCTAGGATCGGCATCAGGTAAGACAACAAATAGAAGTGTTCCTTTGTGCTATGTTAGTAACAATGAAAGTAAAATTATACCTGCTGAGTGAAGAAAAACCTAGCTCTCTGTGATTCAAAAGTGGGCTGGTCACACCTCACCTGTAACAGTTTCAAATTTAATTCTACTACTGTGCAAAACTTACTTATCACTGCACGTGAGGAGCCCCTTTCTCCTGAGTCCCCAGGAAGTTCAGAGGCCCAGGCCCCCTCTTCTCAGGCTCTCCTTTTTCTCTGTGGCAGGCCCAGGGACGACCCCCGACTTCCTCCCCTCTTGGAATGGTCACTGCCTATCCAGGTTGTGGGGTTTCTCTCCCCTTCAAGGCGGGCTCAGGGAAGATGGTCTCCTTACGTCACACTTCCTTACTGTTCCTTGAAGCAAGTTCATAGACCCTCTTCACTGTAACACTCGAACAGTCATTGTTACAAGTTCATAGACCCTCTTCACTGTAACACTTGAACAGTCATTGTTACAAGAGAAAAGACAAGATTTAAAGGGAAAACATGAGGAAGTTATATAAAGGGGTACAAATCTGATAGTCCTGGATCTTAATCTAGAGCATCTGACAATCTAGAAATAACCGGCGACTTCTTTTACCAACATTGGGTACAAGCCCCTGGTTCCTGGCACTGAGCTCCTAAACCCGAGTAAATTCCCATGTGACACAATTCAGTGCTTAAAGAACTTCCTCAGTCTTCTAGTGGTGGTGGTATAGTCCATTTCTAGATGGACCATACTGATGAGCATCTGACTGATCCCACTCCTTTGCTCTTACAAACAATGCCGATATCAACTATCTGCACTTATGTGCAGGTCTGTCTGCTGTAGTCCGTTTTCTGATGGGCTGATGGAGGTGACATCCATGCAATCTCCCAGTGACCCTAGTACTGGAGCATCGTCACAGAGAGCGTTCCTTTCTCCAGGCCGTGCCTATGGAGAGGGACGGAGTCAGATCATTTAAATACACTTCTCTCTTCAGTTGAACTTACTGTTATTCTTCTAGAGATAGTTACCCAATAAGATCTCCGCACGTTGTTATCATGCCTTTAAATGGAAGGACACAGGAGAAGAAATGGAAGGCCAGGCTCCAGGGTTCTGTTCTTGGCCACTTCCTGGGCAATCGGTGCCTAAATCTTCAATTGCTGGATAGATCTCTCTCATCCCATTCTCCTTCCTGAGCTCTGGGCTCCTATGTTCAGTTCTCTTTGGACTGTGTATAAGTGTCGTCCAGCAAATGCGTGATACCTAAAATGTTGTGTTTGTAGTTTCAGTCGTGGTGGGAGAAACATTACTATAATTGTTCAACCCAGATACCTAGAAGTTACCCCTTACTTGACTGGAAGCTCCCCCCACCCACCTGTAAGCATCTGGAGGGCAGAGATTGTATCTTGTTATGGTTGTACCCCTAGGACCTAGTCCAGTGCCTGCAAACTACTTGTTGGGTCAATGAATAAACATATGAATGATTTCTTCTTTTTTCCATTCCAGAGCAACAGCTGAAACTACCGTGCAGGTGGACTTTGAAGCTGGGATAGAAAATTCCACTCTCCAGGCTGGGTGTCATTTTATTGGGCAGGAAGGATGGTGAGAGGCTACTGAGGCTGACTGGCCAGGAAAGAGCAGGCTAAGGCCCAGGAAGGGCTGTCGGCAGGGCACAGCTTGTATCTGCCAGCTCCCTCAAGTACCTCTGTCTGTCGCTCCACAGCTGGACTTGATGTTGTTGTTTTCCACCCATGTTATTTGCAGACATTTGCGAATGACTTGATACAAACACCACCATTGGAGAAACCCATGGATAACTTAAGAGCATTGATCAGGTCAAGGAGCATGTGGACATGAAGAACAGATAAATGCAGTATCGACAATGAGACCCCTGCAATGCGCCCTCACGCTTCTAGAAACGCCACTGCCACCAATAATGATTGCAAATATCTGACTGCCGGGCGTGGTGCAGAGTCATATATTCGTTCTTTCATTTAATCTTCCCAGGCTTGTGATATGGTAAAGAAGTGGAAAGAAGGTGACAATCTTCACTTTGTAGGAGACCCTACCCACATCCCCCTTTTTAAAAAATCTACCCTCAACACTTTATTATGACGCTCAGTTCTGGGGTGATGTGGTAAAACTGTATATAAATATGGACTATTGTGTTTGCAAATCACAAAATCAGAAGGTTTTTTTTGTTTTGTTTTGTTTTTTATGTTTTAGTCATAGAAACACAGCTTTGACTCACTCCTGTAAACTATCTAAGCTTAGGCTAGGGGCTGAGTAACAAGTAAGAACCACCAGTGGGGATATAGGCTCAGAGTCCAGAGAAGGTGGCAGAGAAGGGCCCACCTCCAGGGGTTTCCTTCTGAGAGGAGAGTCGAAGAGGGGTGACTGCTCATCCTGCCATCAGGTGATGGATGCTTAATCCCCAGGAGGAAGCTGCTTGCATCGGGGATTCTGAGAGGAGGACCTCTACCATCCTGCCTGCCTGGGAGCCCAGGTAGCTGCTCAGACCTGCCTGTCCCCTTCTAGGGGCCCTGCTTCCGTCAGCGCCTGTGGAGAGGGGGCTCTCTTCCCTTCCTCCCTCACTCTGCTTCTGTGGGAAATGGAGGAAAGACGTTTGGGAGAAATAATCCATACAGTTTTAGAGAAGCCTCAGGCCTTTGTTCTGGGTTTCTCTTTTAAGTAACCTCGGGGTACAGTGGTCAGCTGTGGGGGAAGGCTAAGCCACTCTAGGCAGGGTTTTGAAATTTAAAGCCAAGACTATGTGATGGCACCATTCAGTAGGTGAAACAAGGTAGAGGCATGTTGCAAAATGTTCACAGGCCATAACGTTCGAATGGTTGGTTGTTAGTAATGATTGTGAACTCATATTTCAAACATCCATGTCTCACAAAATTGGTTTCTACTATAGTTTGTGGTGAAATACTATATTACAAAATATCACACACACACGCACACACACACACACACATACCCTACGTACATACATGTTCATTTTATTTATTTATTTTTTACTTTTTTTATTTTTTATCCTCACCCGAGGACATTTTTCCATTTTTTGTTCAGATAGAGTGGGAGGGGAAGAGAGGAAGAGAGAGAGAGAGAGAAACATCAATGTGAAAGGGACACATTGAGTGGCTGCCACCTGGACAACCCAACCAGGGCCGGGACAAACTGCAACCAAGGTACATGCCCTTAGCAGGAACTGAACCCGGGTCTCTCTGGACCGCAGGCTGACGCTCTAAGCACTGAGCCCAACCGGCCAGGCCCATACATGTACATTTTAAACCCCAGTAGTAACAGTGATTAAAATGTCATAAGTAGCTCTGGCTGGTTTGGCTCAGCAGTTAGAGTGTCAGCCCATGGACCAGAGAGACCTGGGTTCGGTTACCGCCAAGGGCACATACCTCGGTTGCAGTTTGTCCCTTTTTCTGGTTGGGGTTGTATGGGTGGTGACCAGTCGATGTGTCTCTCTCACATCAATGTTTCTTTCTCTTTCTTCCCCCCATCTCTTCCTCCTGCTCTATCTGAAGATAGATGCAGAAATGTCCTCAGGTGAGGATTAAAAAAGAAAATTTAAATGTCATAAGTAATACATATCTAACAAGAAATATTATGTAACTCATAAGCACAGTTCTCTTCTATTAGATTCTGAAGAGAAGCCGATCTGTGTCAT